ATTAATCACACCTCCCCCATATCAGCCATTTGTCATTCTGACAGACTATGCCAGATACATCCATACTATAACTTCTCTGACATCAGTGAAGTTATGCCAGCGATGATTGTGGCTTCATACAGTAGGTATAAACAGAGGAGATGGGGTCTGCATTACCAACTGGATTGGTACAGCTTTGAACCTCAAATTAAGAGTCAGACTGGTCACTGTATTGCTCCAGTTTTACACTGGCGTAACATCATAGATATCAGCGGTGCTATGGCAACATATATTTGGCAAAACACTGTGATGAATAAGGTCTAAGGGCTCTATTACACATCCAAAGGCAGAAAAGTCAAACCAACCTACCACTAATGTAATGAAAAATACAGGTATATAGTCAATATTCATAGCTTCTGTCATAAATATAAAGGGAAGGGTAAACACCTTTAAATCCCTCCTGGCCAGAGGAAAAGCCCTTTCACCTGTAAAGGGTTAAGAAGCTAAGATAACCTCGCTGGCACCTGACCAAAATGACCAATGAGGAGACAAGATACTTTCAAAGCTGGAGGGGGGGAAGGGGGAGAAACAAAGGGTTCTCTCCGTCTGTTGTTTTTTTTTTTTTTGCAGGGACCAGAGCAGGAATGCAGGTCAGAACTCCTGTAAAAAGTCAGTAAGCAATCTAGTTAGATAAGCGTTAGATTCCGTTTTGGTTAAATGGCTGATAAAATAAGTTGTGCTGAATGGAATGTATATTCCTGTTTTTGTGTCTTTTTGTAACTTAAGGTTTTGCCTAGAGGGATTCTCTATGTTTTGAATCTGATTACCCTATAAGATATTTACGATCCTGATTTTACAGAGGGGATTCTTTTACTTTTTCTTTAATTAAAATTCTTCTTTCAAGAACCTGATTGATTTTTCATTGTTCTTAAGATCCAAGGGTTTGGGTCTGTGTTCACCTATGCAAATTGGTGAGGATTTTTAATCAAGCCTTCCCCAGGAAAGGGGGTGTAGGGCTTGGGGGGATTTTGGGGGGAAAGACGTTTCCAAGTGGGCTCTTTCCCTGTTATTTTTGTTAGACACTTGGTGGTGGCAGCAATAAGGTCCAGGGACAAAAGGTAAAATAGTTTGTACCTTGGGGAAGTTTTCACCTAAGTTGGTAAGAAGAAGCTTAGGGGGGTTTTCATGCAGGTCCCCACATCTGTACCCTAGAGTTCAGCGTAGGGAAGGAACCTTGACAGCTTCAGATACTAAAATGACACATGCATACAAATAGGATAAACCATGTTCAGCAAACCATAACTTTTCCATTGACACCTTACATGTCACACTTTATACAAGATTTGTTGCAACTGTTTAACAGTGTTAGCAACAATGAATATACATGGTCCTATTTTAATCAGATAACATCACAAAGGGCCATTTGCAGAGAGCTATTCTCAAGGGGTTGTTTCCACCCTTTCAAAGTACCCTTTTTAACTGCTAAGGCAGCATTCAAGTGCCTTAGCATAACTGAGAAGAGTCCCAGGATCTGGGAGTTATTGAGAAACAATAAATATAGACCACTACAATCCCATTTTTACAGAATCTCTTTTCAGAGCAGAACCATGTGTTAACACAAGCACTGATGACTGTGAACCAGTTATAATGGAAATATTACCTGTGCAGTGTCATGTAATGGACAGACACCAGAGTACTAAATCCTGTGCATTTACTTGGAGAAATGGAAGTAGGGCCTGATCTTCTTAAAACATAATGGAAGTTTGGCCATGGAAGGGCAAAGGATCAAGTCCTAAACAACCAGAAAATAATACAGATATGGGGGAAAATTGTCCCATTTGACTTTGAGTATCACCCAATTTCTTAACTAGAATGATACATAACCCATGAACAAGAATAAGCAAATCAACAAGGCATGTGTAATATTCTCACGTTTCTTCATAAAGTGCTGTTTTCTATAGGATGGACACTTATTGTTCTTTAATGCAGCAGTTATTTTTCCGTATTCTCTATTATTATTTACTGCCTTCTTGAGAAGCTCAAGTTACTAACACAGCATAATGCCACTTGCTTTATGGGTTGTTGTTTTTTTTTTTTTTGCAGTAAATTATAATGCTGTCTTCCAACTCTGCCACATAATTGTACATAGTGACTAGACAGTCAGCTGTGCCAGAGCTCTGTTCAAAGCAGCTGAGAAAGGGAGCACAAAAGTTTACTTTTGCTCTCCCTTAATCTCTAGGGCTGCCAAGATTGTTGTAATTGCCACTGGCTTTTAATGGCTCCCCCAGTTTCGCAGGTCTCAGATTTCTGGAGAGCAGCACTCTCTAGAAAGGATCCAGCATGTCCACACCCACTATTGTCAGGGGGCCAAGAGGGCATGGGGTATAGCCAGCTATGCTTGGGGAATCCTCAGATGCCTGCTAAGGGCAGCTTTATGGCCACTTTCTGCCTCTCAATTGATGTAAAGAGCCATAGCCTGGGTCAAAATCCAGCCTCCTAATTTTGTTAGTACCTTGCAAAAGTTTTCCTGCTTATTATCTGCATAGAACACATTTGATTTCATATATTAAAAAACCCTATCTATATATAGTTCCTGGTTGGATTTTTTATTTTAATTTACTTCATTTTTCTTCTGAACATGTGTACCACATAGTATTCTATATTTTTAACTAGATGAAGTACCATAGCATGTCCTCGCATATTGTCTTTTGTCTTATAGTTAGATTGTAAGCTCTTTGGGGTAGGGAGTGTCTTTCTGTTCTGTGTTTGTACAGCACAATGGTGTCCTGATCCACCACCAGAGCTTCTAGATGCTATGATAATACAAAAAATAAGTGAAAAATAATAATAATAAAGTGAAAATCAACTTCCAGAAAATTACATGGTGCAGTGAATTGGTTTTATTATATATGTAGGTGATGCACCATAAACTTTAATGTTAATATTATTGTTTTAGGTATATTTTAACATAATTGGTTTATTTGGTGTTAACAAACACTACAAAAATAGCAGTCAGTCACTTTGTAGGCAAATGAATACTTTTCTCATATAACCCAAATTTAAAACAGTATATTATGAAACTACTTGAAATAACTACTACAGTGTTCTCTTAGGTCCAAAATCTACAACACTTTGATCCCCCCCAAAACAAACAAACAAACAAACAAACAAACAACAGACAAAACCTCCCAACCCCCCACAATTTACTTAGCTCAAATTTACTTACACCAGAATGAATCAACACAGATCTTTTGATGTAAGCTGGAAATTTTTTGGCCCTGACCCTGAAATTGGACCCATGTGGCTGGACACTCCCACCTAGGTAAAACCAGATTGCAGGATCTTGGCCGGTGTCAGGATTAGTTAATTGTTTCTCTGATCAGTTTGAGAAAAGTAAGTTACTGTTATAGCTACAGGAAACACAAATTAGATATTTTACACTACCTGAAGGCAAGCATAACACATAGTGTAATCAGTAAGCTCCATGTGCTTGTTCTTAGTTCACAGTAACTGTGATAAAATCAAATTCTTTGCCTTCAAACGAAGAAAATTGAAGGGCATAAGGAGCATGCTATAGAGCACTTTCACAATATCTGGGGCAATGCTAAGGAAAATTAAGCTCATGTGAATTGCTTGTGAAGAAAACAAACTATTCTTTTAGTCAGTATTTTGCATGGTCTGTGTGTTGTGCCAGTCAGTGAATCTGAAAGAAGAAAGCCACTTCTGACATCTATAGATCACTGTCCAGATATCTTGATATTGGATGCTAGCTAGAAAGCTAATTATTATTCTTATTTGTTTTTAATAGCACCCACAATGGGCGATGTGCATCACAATCTCAGAAGTAAACATGGTGTCTATTCTGCATACTTTATATAATAGAAATTGTTAACTATTATTATTATTGTCACTCTTAGGAACCCCAGTCAGGGAACAGGGTCCCATTGAGCAAGGCACTATGCAGGCAAATAAAAAAGACAATTCCCGTCCTGAAGCAGAGCTCTATGTAGCTCAACAGCTGCTATCTCTTACCAACAGAACTTGATCTATTAAAGACATTAGCTCATCCACCTTGTCTCTCTAATATCCTGGGACCCCACAGAGCTACAATAACACCACATAATTCACATCCTGTCAGACACTAGGTGTCAAATGGTTGCAACAGGTGGGCTAAAGAGACAGCTAGGGTGGGAGGAGGCAGGAAGAGATGATGCGGTAAGAAAATAAACAGAACTTGACAGACAATACAAGTCCTTGCTTGCCATTTGTGGTAGACAGATAATAACCAATTGCAACAAGAAAGCGAATGTCTGCATTCAAGTACATAAAAGGTTGTTATAACAGGGAAGGGGAAAAAAATTCTCTTCATCCTCTGGGGATAGGACAAGAAGCAATGGGCATAAATTGCAGCAAGGGAGGTTTAGGTTGGACATTAGGAAATACTTCCTAACTGTCAGAGTGGTTAAGCACCGGAATAAATTGCCTAAGGAGGCTGCGGAATCTCCATCATTGGGGATTTTTAAGAGCAGGTTGGACAAACACCTGTCAGGGATGGCCTAGATAATCCTTAGTCCTGGCGTGAGTGCAGAGGTCTGGACTAGCTGACCTCTCGAGGTCCCTTCCAGTCCTACCATTCCATTCGGGTGGCTTCAGGGAATATTTTCCTTAGCCCATCTACGTCTGCTCTCAGAAATCAGGGGGACACAAAGTGCAGCAGAGAGCAGGGAACAGCCGCTGTCCCCGGGGCCAGGCGCTGCCCCAGCACACAGCGCCCCCCAGGCAGCCCGAGTCCGGCCAGCGGCGTGCACAAGGGGGTCCGGTGTTCCCTGTCTGCCCCACCCTCCTCTCCACTCAGCCGCCCTGCCGCCGACCCTGCCTGGCCCCCGCCCGCCGCCGCCTGACCCGGACACGCGCCCCCGGACAGCCCCGCTCTCGCTTCCCCCGCCCGGCGGCGGGGCGGTTTCCAGGCGGAACCCGCCTGCGCGGGAACTGGCGCGCTCGGCAGCGGGCGCCGCCGGTCGGCGGAGCCAGGACACCACCGGGCTCCTGCCGCCGCCGCCTCCTTCCTCCTCCTCCTGCTGCTGCTGCTGCTGCTGCCGGGCTGAGCGGCGGGGTCGTCGGCAGCGTGACACGAAGCAGCCGCCTCCGGACTCCTCTTCATGGCAGGGAACTTCTGGCAGAGCTCGCACTAGTGAGTGGCCCCCGCCCGGCCGGGGCTGCCTGGAGGGGGGCGGGTGGCCGTGGGGCGCCTGGTCCGGCAGGAGGGGGCTCCTGGGGCTCGGGGCTGGCTGCGGGGGGGGTTGTGTGCAGGGGCTTGGGGCAGGCTGGGCGCAGCTGTCCCTGTGGCCACGGTGCATCTGGGAGGGTTGGGCTCGGGGTTGTGGAGACCACAACAGTGTGGCCGGGGGCTTTTAAATCCACCCGGACGCTCTTTAACCCGGTCCTTTGCCCAGTCACTTCAGTTTGCTCCTGACTCCCTTCCCCCCCTTGTTTCCACCGCGGGTTTTTTTTTTTTTTTTTTTTAAGTGAAGGCCATAGAAAGCTTATTAAACTTGTGTGGAAAGCTGTTAGGTGGGGGTGAGGGAGTTCTGTAGTCGATTTGGGCAATGCCAATCATTTATGAATAATAATTAAAATACCTGTGTGGTGTTCTCACCCCCAGACCCGGGTTCTGACACATCCAAATTGTGGGCCAGAGAATGTGTTTTGGAAGATTTGAATTTTTTTTTTAACAGACAAAACAAAATTTAAAAATAAGAACATTTTCGAAGCAGTTGAGAAGGAGATCTAGAGCATGAAATTAAAACTTGTGACAGAAGGAAGAATAGTGTGATGGGAGGAAAATGTCTTTTAGCAAAATCAGGCACATGACCATATAAAATAGGGTTCATAAGGGACTTATGATGATTCATTGCTAATTAAAATGACTCAAATAGAAATATTTATAAACAAAAATAAGCACTTATCTGTTTTAGTAGCTAGAGTATATTGGTATCTATATAGTTAAACCAGCTGATCAGTTTCTCTGGCTTAGTCGCAATTTTCATAATACCTGCAGTTTAGTCATTTCCTTTCTCTTCTATTTTGTGCCTTACTCACTTGGCTACCCTGATTGTAATAATTGGGAATGTTCATGTACACACAAACGATTTACCAGTAAATCCACAATTTTCCATCCCACTCTAGCGTATGTATACATAGGTGACCTTTCCATATTTATACATAGGATAAGCATGCAAAACTCATGACTGGACAAGCTCAAGAAGTATGATTATATGTAGGAAGTGGAAGTGGTTCAGTTAGACTCACACAGGTTAAGCATATGTATAAATATTTGTATGAAGCATGTGAGTAATCCCAATTGAAGTAGTCAGATTAAAAATGTTGGCAACTAATTAAAAAAGGTAATTGTAGCATCCGTGGAAGGCTAGCATTTTAAAGGGTTTTTTTAAGCGTTTGTATATTGGGGTTGCAGAAAAAAAATCATAAATGCTCCAGGAATGGCTGTGTAAATACTCCCTTCACGTCTAATAATATTCTGCACCAAGGAGAGAGAGAGGAATTGAAAAGCCTTTCCTTGAAGGAAAGGCCCTTGAACTAAATATGCAAGATAGCCAAGAATGAACTGATAGAGTATCTCATTATTATACAAGAATGAAGAATGCAGATCAGTCCAGATTTGAGTATACAGAATTTTAAAAAGGCATATTTGATAAAAATATAGAATAAAATATATGAATAACTGACAATTTATCAGTTTTATAAACATTTTCAGCAACAAAATTAAAAGAAATCCTCTTACTTTTTGTGAGTATTTTTCCAAAAGCCTTACTTTAATGACCCTAATGAGTATTCATTTCACAAGAGTGCCTCTAGTATTGCAAGACTAGATTAAAGAGATACTGTCAGCCTGTTTGGTCCCCAAATGTAATCTGCAATCTAGTTGTGCTGGAGACACTACATAATGTTTGTGCGTAGTTTTTAAAAATTGCTTTCCCCCCCACCAGTTTACAATGGATTTTGGATAAACAAGATTTGTTGAAGGAACGCCAAAAGGATTTGAAATTTCTGACAGAAGAAGAATATTGGAAACTACAGATATTCTTTACTAATGGTAAAATGGTTTTATTTTTAGCTCAGCTGTTTAGCCCATATTGTATTTACCATGTCTGAATTCAGGTTTCAGTTGCTTAGAATATCAGTTTCTCATAACATCTTATATACATTCTCTCAACCTATTTAACACGTAACTTTAAGTTACAATCTTTTATAAATTATTCAGATTAGCTGTATTCTTAGTTGTATGAGGAGTTTTATAGATAAACTAGCTGCATATGTATTTCTCAGTTATGTTATGAAATTTCAAAAGTCTTCCTTCTTATTTTCAGGAAGTTTCTGTAAAGACAAAAAGAGGGAGGGCAAAAAAAGAAGCAAATTTATATGTAGAGGCTTAAAGGTTAGAATGTGGAGTTATTTAGGGCTTGATCCTGCAAGGTGCTGAACACTCTGGCCCTGACATTAAGCACTGGAATAGTCCTGTTGGAGCAATGAGATACCTTTAAAAATCTGAGTAATGTAGGTGTTGCTGTACTCAGCATTGCAATGCCTAAGTCTAATTTTTAGAAGTGATTTAGGGCACATCCATACTTCAGAAAAAAAACAAACAAAAAATGTAGCAGTGAGTCTCAGACTGAGTCAACTGATTTTGGGCTTGTGCTGTGGGGCTGAAAATAACAGTGTTGGAGCCCGGGCTCTGAGATCCACCCCAGTCACCGAGTCAGTTGACTCAGGCTCTGAGACTTGCTGCTGCAGGATTCCCCCCCTCTGCTCCCCCCCCCCCCCCGCATTAATGAACCCTAAGTCACTTCTGAAAATGAAATTAGGCTCATAAATCAGTTAGGCATTGCAATGCTGAGCACAGGAACACCTAAATAGCTTTAAAATCTGGGCTTAAGTGCTTTGTGTCATAAAGACCAGAACGTTTAAGTATCTTGCTGGACCAAGCCCTAAGGGAGAAAAGACTCTTAAACTAGCACTTTGTGCAAAGTGCTATTTAAATACTCTCTTTGAACCATCTTGTAAGATAGGTAACAGTATTTTCTCAGTTGTCTGGGGGGAGAAACTGAGACAGAAAGGTTTCAGAGTAACAGCCGTGTTAATCTGTATTTGCAAAAAGAAAAGGAGTACTTGTGGCACCTTAGAGACTAACCAATTTATTTGAGTATAAGCTTTCGTGAGCTCAAATAAATTGGTTAGTATCTAAGGTGCCACAAGTACTCCTTTTCTTGAGACAGAAAGGTTAGTGACTTTCTTGAGGGCACTTATAGTCCCGGCATCTAACATGAACTCTATAACTCTAGTTTTCCATCCCCCACTTCTATGCTCAGATGCATTTCTCTTTGGCATAGCTATTCTTATTTACAATTACCAAGATTAAAGTACTCTGCAAAATCTGATCACAAATAATTTGGCTGTATTAACACTTGTATAGTACAAAATAACTGAGTGAGCACTCATGTTTATCTAATGAATTAACTATCCTAAAGTTCCTTGAGGACAAAGTAAAACAGTATTCTGATTTTGTAATGTAACAAGATTTAAAAGGACATTGATGGATTTATGAAAACTAAAATATTTTAAAAATCTTACTTTTTCCGTTGATGTTGCTTTTAGTGCTTCATTCCTCTCGGACAAAGAAAACAGACTAGTTACTTCCATTTTCTGGTGAAGATTACCAGCTGATTAAATGAATGTCAGTCACTTGTTTTGTTACATACTTTTTAAGTTAGGTTTTTTTAATCAGCTCTTACCATTGTCCAAAGAAGGACGTTTGTGACCACTTTCATCTGTAGGAGTGTGGACATTTACTAGAATTTATGTTCCTTTGGAGTAGACTAGTTTTCTTTTCTGGTTTTCATGCATTAGCACATGTTTCGGTTACAAGCTGTTAAGAAAAGTATTTCAACTTTAAACAGAAATGTTTTCATTTTTAAATCAAGTTTTTGAAATGGTTGTGAAAACACTTTTTAGTATTAAATTTTTGTGAAACATTGAAGCTAAACAACCTAATAACATTCTTTAAAATACTTCATTTGAAAGCTTCCATTTATAAGGTTTCTTTAGGCACTTATCAGTTAACTTTTTTTTTTTCTTTTCTAAATCTCACTTGGTTTCTCTCTCTGGTCACATATGGCCCAACCATTCCCTCCTACAGAAAAACCCCAGGGGAAGGGAAAATGAACTTATAAAATTCTGTGTGGCTTACTGCATGGATTTTTCTGATGCATCATCCCCAGTGTGAGGACACCAGCATGTAGTGAGATCAGGGGACACAATACTGTAATTGTGCAAATGTTCAAGATTCATTGGGAAGCTTGTGGATATTGAGGCATTTGTGCAGAGACATTTCATGTTGCAGCTTGGCTCCTTCCTTGGCAGCATTGCTTATTTATGAGCCTTGATGCCATTGGCAGCCTGGCCTTAACTGTGCAATATGCGTGTTCTCTCCCTGAGGGAATGAGGAGGTCACAAGTCAGAGATAAGGACTTAGTTTTACTTTGAGTAATGTTAACACATGACATAATTTTTTCCTCTGCAAAATCTGCTGGGTAGCCAAAGAATAAGGCTATTAAGAGTGACTTTCCCTCAGGTTCATCCCACCTCCAGCCAGCCATGCCCCCAGTACCTTCACATTCTCAACTGGGAGCCGTTTAGGTCCTTGCATATGGGGAGAGAGCTTCTGTTGTCTGTGGGAGACAGTGGACAATGGCGCATGAGCAAACTAGACAATTACAAGTGCTTATATGCTTCTAATACAGTGTAAGATTCTAACAATGTTTAATAATTTAAACTGCTTGCTTTTCCCATCTGATACCTCTGTTTGGTTTTTGCTGTACATGCTTAAAATATGTTGCGTGTAAACTAAATGACATAACTTGAGACCTCTGTATAAAAGGCACGATACTGATATGGCATTGCTTGCTCGAACTAACAGCAGAGAAAGAAATACAGGAAAAGTAGCATGTGTAATGTTTCATTCCATCGTTCTTTAATCCCACCTCTGCTCTGTATCCCAAACTGATGCATCTAATGTGCTTGGCACCTTTCCTTTGCCTGAGAGGCCAAATGAGCTACCTGCACAGCTGACACCAGGGCTGCTTCTTGGCCAGCTGGCAGAGAACACTTGTGATGGAGCAGCTGACTACTTCCTCTGGTCTTCCATCCCCTTTCCCTAGACTAAACATGTCACTTCTCCAACACCTGCTGCCTCTGCCAAATCCACTGACCATGTTTGTTGGCAGCTTTATTCAATTTATAATGCATGTAAAAGTCAAGTTTAATTTAAAACATTTGAATTTTAGACTGTAAAATGGACACCCACATTTTACCCAGTGGTGGCTGTGTAGTATGTGGTCACCTTCCCAAGGGACATGCATAATTTGTGCATAATGGAGCAAATTGTCATCCTCATCTTTAAGAAAATGTCCAGTCCACATACACCACAGGCTGCAGCATGCATCCACTGTTATCAAAATGGCCTGCTGAAACATGGTCTCTGTGGAGTCAAACCTCTGAATTTAAAATGAGGGCTGTCTGACCACACTTTAGAACCCTTTCAATCCAGTTTCTCCCATGGGCCCCACGTAGTGTGCCCAATAAATGGTACCAAATCATATTAAAACGCAACTTAAATATATTGTTCTATTTTTTTTTTAAGTCATCCAGGCTTTAGGTGAACATCTTAAATTAAGACAACAAGTTATTGCCACTGCTACAGTCTACTTCAAGAGATTCTATGCCAGGTAGGACTGTTTACTATAATGGTACAAGAATAACGCGTTTGTTAGGCAGATTTTGATAGCCCTTTAAAAGTGCAATAATAAAATAAAAATGCCATTTTTGTTTGTGAATGGTGGAAAGCTTTTATGTTGATAATGTTAAACAGTTTTTACTTTTCCAAAGAAAGTGTGGTGCTCTTAATACATTAATCTTTCTACGTGTGTAAAACAACGTATAATTTTGTTATGACATTTCAGATATTCCCTAAAAAGTATAGATCCAGTATTAATGGCTCCTACGTGTGTGTTTTTGGCATCCAAAGTAGAGGTATGATGTATTATAATTTTCTAATGTAAAACTATATGATATATAAGGGAGATGAAATATTTAAGGTTCTTAAGGTATTTTTTGTTTCCATGATTTGGGGGTTCAGACCTCTTTTTTTCTGTGGATTTCTGTATCGCTTTAGCGTCAGAGAGAAAATGCCCAATGATAGCTGCTATTAAGTAGTACTTCATTTTTCACAATGTTGCCTGAGTTACTGGCCTGTTTTCTCAACCCTAAAGGATCTTGGAGATTTTGACAGAGTGTTTAGATGATATTTTAATGTAGTTATTTATATATCTTAAATTGTGCTGCTGTTCCGTAAAATCTCCATTTTTATGTGGTTCAGTTTTGTCTGTTATGTATAGAAACTGGTTAAATGTTTACTCCAATTTTCAAATATAATTGAAATTCTACTGTGTTTTTCACTGTATATGGGAAGGGATCTCCAGAATTTACCACACTTTTTAAAAATTTCAATAGCAAATGCTGTAGCTCAGATCTTTATTTTAAGAAAAGTGTGCGTAGTTGGATGGCAAAGGATATTGGTAAGGAGGAACCAATCTTTCCAGCTGAAGCTCCCTGACTTGAGTATGGCCAGGGTCAGCAATGCCTGAGATTTGTTATAATCTGGAGGATGTTCGTGGCCCTTTGTGAAATAAAATGGTCTCAGGTCATTCTTTGATAGATGTCCACACACACACACACACACGCACTCTGCTGATGTTACAGCTGGTTCAGCTGAACCCTTGTTAGCACTAGTGAAAGTCTTGGTGTAGACGAAGCTTTGGCAGCATCCTGTGTGTGCAGTTTCTTTTTATCACTGTGTTAATTTAATCTTCTGATAATGGCAGACAGAAATAATAGATACACAGTTTTAATTTACACAGTATTGGAAACACTGGGTGCCGCCAAAACCTTGTCTATACTTGGGCTCCCACTGGTGTTAAGAGGGCAGCTGAACTGGTGTTAGCACTGTTGGGAATGTTTCTGTAAAATTATTCAATGTAAATAAGGCCTTGTCTTCTCTGCTAATACTGCCAACAATAATGCATGAAGACTGAGCTAGCCTTGAAACATTACCAGTGGCTTTCTAGAACAGGGTTTCCTCTCAAACAAGATTGAGATGTATTGGTAGTGGGATGTTGGAGCTTGCAGTATGACTGCCTATTCTGTATGGGTACTATACATAAATTAAGTATTGTGAATGTGACATTTATGAGTATTAAATGTTTGTTACCATTCATTTTAATGAGAACAGTGGAGTAATTATTAAATGAAAAGTAACCTCTGTGTTGGTGTAGCTTTACTTAAATAATTAACTCATTCTGATCACCTAAACAGAAATTTAATAGGGAAGAAAATATTTAGTTAAAATGTAATGTAAAAAAAAAAGTCTAGCAAGAAAACCCAGTGCTTTTAAACTGATAAAAGTGTGATCAAATGATATTTCAGCAAGTTCAATACTAACTGGGTCACCTCATTTACCACTCTTCTTTGCTCAGGAATTTGGTGTGGTCTCAAACACAAGGTTGATTTCTGCTGCTACTTCTGTATGTAAGTGTAAATGATGTGTTTATTATACTATATTAAGGAAGCTATTTTCAGGGGAGAGGAGATGTTCACTTTGTTAAGAAATAGTTTCTTATCAAATCATGAGGGATTTTTAACCTTGCTCCATAAGGGCAACTCATTTACATCGTCTGTGCTTTTAGGGGAAAAGACACCTGTTTGAAGTGTGTATGTGGAAGAAAAGGTCCTTTCTGTGTACCATTCTACACTGGTATCAATTCTGGTGGGAACATATCAGTCAAATCACAACTAAAAATAAGGAGCCATGATGATTATCCTAAATAAAGAAACCCTGAAAATCAGCTCTAGATTTCAATTCAAGCAACGGTGTAAATCAGAAGTGTTGGGCTTTATTTGTCCTTTTTATCACTATTAGCTTTCGTAGAACTACTATTCTGTTTGAGATTTTTGATAGACCTGAATACTTTTTGTTTGTTGGAAAATTGCTAATTGCAAACACATTGTTATAGATTCAATTCATTTTCATAGGTCAAGCAAAAGATACTATTTCTAAGTTTTTATAAAGTTAAAGTCTAATTAGAGAAAACACTTAAAAATTATTTCCCCTTATTCTCCTTTTCCGTTCTTTCCTATAACTTCCTCTCATTCCCTGAGGTCCTTAAACTAATGACTTATGCAGATGAATTCATGATCCAAACTAGAAGGCCCAGCTGCTCTCAGCTGATAATTTCTCACTACTCTGCTCTTCAAAATGTAGGTCAATGCATTCAAAACCCCACCTAGAACTTGAGAGGACAGGTGACTGGCTGCATTTGTAGCTTGTGTATGCAGTATATCACTCCATGAGGTTAGCCCTGTGACAGTTCCACCACCAGAAGATGAAACACTTCATCAATGCCAGCTGGAAGACCAAAGATCCCACCCCAAGAAACCCTAATGGTTGGGGGAGGAGGAGTTATTGCTGAACCAAAGTGACATCCATAATATTGTTTTCATTTTAAAAATAAACGATCTTCAGATTAGAATCTTAAAGTTTGTAGAATCCTGTATTTTGACATTTGGAAAAAGACTAAGCTTGTATATGATATGATCTTCTAAGGACTGACTTAAGTTACTGAAAAAATATTTATGTAGAATTCTGCGACTAAAAATACGTCAGTACTGCAGTTAGTAGGTTTGCCATTTTACATTAAAACCTTAGCAAGAGTGCAGATTTGTGTAATAACTTTGTGCATCAATGAGGACAGCAGATATGTATTTGATAAAGATACAGGAGTCTAAATTTAATGTTAGCTTTCAGGGATCTTGCAATGCTTTAAAAACAAAATACTCCACTGTTCTTGGGAGCACACATTGAGCGGGAGGACAATGCACAGGTGGCTTTTTCTTCAACCTCACTTTTGTATGTCTGTCTTCTGCCTGTGCCTCTGTTAGCAGAGCTTTTTCAGCAGCACAGGTTCAGCGGATTGGTATAGGACTTTGGAGAGGAGGGGAAAAAAGAGTTGAGTGGAAAAAATAGGAGATGCATAAAAGGAAACTAACAAAAAGGAAGACCTGCTAGTTAATTGAGACAGTTTGGTCCTTTGCACTTTGCGCAGTTGCTAGAGGCACTGAGGAGGCAGTGTACACTTCCCCTTGGGGAGAAGGCACCTTCAATTGATCTCTAGCAACCTCTTCACTCTACCCCTGCAGTTGAGTGCAGGAACAGCTCAATAGGGCGATGGCTCCAGCATGCTTTGGAAATCAAATCTTTTCCCCACAACTCTCCCAAAAAAAATTGGGATTCTTTTACCCCTACTTGCCTGAAAAAGCGTGGTGAGGAGATCTTTTCTGCCCAACTTCAGAGTCAATTAAAGAGCCATGATGAAAGAACTGTCCACTGATGGTGAACTGTAGTCTTGTTTCTGTTTGACACAGAGCAGTATAATTGACCTGCAACTGGGTCTGTTCCTAAAACTTGGCTTGGTCAAGCTATATTCTCCTCCACTTCTAATGCTGTTTTTCTCAGACAGTGGTATACACAGGGTTCTCTTTTTAAAATTATTATAGAATTGTATTGTTTACATTAGTTTTTGGCTTCTTTACATTGTATATTGTTTCTTGTGTAAATTAAAAACAAGTAAATGAAGTTGCAGTAGTTTTCTGAATAAATAGTCCACATAATCATTGAGCAGTTCATTATTGTTTTTAATCTATTGAACAACTCAAAATTAAAATTACTCTTTTAATTTGAAACTAAAATTTCCATCTAGTGGCATGATCCTACAGACAAAATTCACATGGAAGTATATGGAATGTGCATACATACCTAAGGACTTCAGGTTCAACCCTTTAGTTGTTCAGAGGGCTAGATCCTCCTCCTACTGATGTCAATGGTATAGTAGACTTCAGCCAGAATCAGGCCCTAAATTACTGTCTCTCAGTATTACAGGGAACACTGTCTGCTCAGAAAATGTTAATTGTTGTCCATTTTGTTCAGAGGGGGAGTTTCTAAAATAGGTTTAAAAATGCATGATCTGACAGAACTGACAGTCTTTATTCAAATAATACTTCATCTTTCAGGAATTAAACCACTGAGTTATACAATTGAGTTAATTCTCCTCTTCCAAGTAGGATTGTTCTTTATGTATAGCAGTAGATCGTTAGTGGCCAGATAAGAGGGTTTGAGGCTCTACATGCTGAAGAACTAATAGAAATAAGTAAAGAAGAATATTTGATTTAATTTTGTCATTATTTTTAATATATCAATCTCTTTTTACTACAGTGAAAACTAGGTTTTCTTATGCCTTTCCGAAGGAGTTTCCTTATAGGATGAATCATGTAAGTATGATATAACTCTAACGAATAAATACATAGACAAGCATGTGTGAGCAGGAATAAATTGTATGGTATGGTATGTCCTTCTTCGAGTGCTTGCTCATGTCCATTCAACTTAGGTGTGTGTGCTCGCCACATGCACAAGTTGAATGGGCATGAGCAACACATCTCGAAGAACACCAGTTACGGAAAAGGTAACTGTCTTTTTCTTACAGGTGGAACAGCTCTGTATCATAAATAGGGTCCTACCAAATTCACGGCCATGAAAAATGCTTCACGGACAGTGAAATCTGGTCTTTTGTGAGCTTTTACCCTCTACTATACTGAATTCATGGGAGAGACCAGCATTTCTCAAATTGGGGGTCCTGACCCAAAGGGGAGTTTCAGGGAGGGTCGCAAGGTTATTTTAGGGAGGTTGTGGTATTGCCACCCTTACTTCTGCACTGCCTTCAGAACTGGATGGCTGGAGAGCAGCAGCTGTTGACTGGGTGCCCAGTTCTGAAAACGGCGCCCCCACCCCAGCAGCAGCGCAGAAGTCAGGGTGGCAATACCATCCCATCCCACCCTTACTTCTGCACTGCTGCCTTCAGAGTTGGGTGGCCAGAGAGTGGCAGCTGCTTACTGTGGGCCCAGCAGGCAGCAGTGCAGAAGTAAGGATGGCAATACCATACCACAACTTCTGCGCTGCTGGTGGTGGTGGCGGCTCTGCCTTCAGAGCTGGGCTCCCAGCCAGCAGCCACTGCTCTCCAGCTGCCCAGCTCTGAAGGCAGCGCTGCTACCAGCAGCAACGCAGAAGTAGGGGTGGCAGTACCACACCCTGCCCTCCCTCCCCAGACACACAACCCTGGGTCAGGACCTCTACAATTGCAACACTGAAATTTCTGATTTCAATAGCTGAAATCATGAAATTTACAATTTTTAAAATCCTATGACCCTGAAGTTGACCAAAAATGACCATGAATTTGGTAGGACCCTAATCATTAATTTAGTGACCTGACTTGTGCGATTCTGGCTCTGCATGAATATTTAGCTCCTTTGCCTTTTTATTTAATTCATATGGCTACAACATTGTGACTGTTTTATAAATGTAATGCATTGTACTATTTTGTAACGAGAGGCAATTAAATCTCAGTTTGGGGCCCAACTGAGTGAAAATTGCACCAGGCAATCCTTTGGAAACAAGTTTTTTTTCAGGTCTTCCATGGAAAAGTAAGACACATTTTTTGTTAAGTAATTTCTAAGCAATATAGTTTCACTGTTGTTTCAAGGTTATTTCAAGCTGTTCTCAATTAACTTTGAATTAGTTGTAGGGAAACTTTCTTTGGGTAACCCATGTCCATGCTTGCAGTTTCTTTATGAAAGAGTTACTTGTTGTATCACCTACTTTCCTTAAATTAGTAGAAAGAGAAATATTATAAAGGGAAGAGAGAAATAAAGTGGGACTGAATAAAATAGCAGTAATTATACAGCAGTTGGTTACTAAGTACACTGCTCCAGGGTAGATCAAAGTAATTCCAATTCCTGGGATACTCACCAGGCCTACACATGGGAACAGTTGGCTCATGTTAAGCGTTTTTTATTTTTGTCCCCAATATTTAATCTGTAGTAAAAATCTGTCCCTCTTTCTACAACTCTTATTTAGACTTAAGAAATTTCCAAGTGTTGTGAAGGCAATATCTTTGGTAATGAAGCCTCACAATAATGAGGGGATTGGTACAGATTTTATTAATGTAATATATTTCTTTCAAATTTACTTCCTTTTAGCTTTTACTATCATATTCCCAAAGGCAAAGCATGTCTCCTTACAGTCTTGGTAACTGTGATATATAATAAGATACTACTAAATTCTAATCTCAATATAATTTTTCATTTTCATTTTTACTGCTCTCCAGCAGAGCTGGCCAGCCCAATGTTATATATTAATTCTTCTTTAGATCTTGATGTAGATCCCTGGGGGCAATGCTGTGCTGCTATTTTAGGGTCAAACTCAAAGCCACATAAAAGTATAATATTGAACAGCACTGCTATTCTGGTTCTTGTTGAGTCAGCATTCAGTTTATAGAATTGTATGATACATCAAGGTTTGGTTACATGGAACCAATACCATGGGAAACTTCAGCATACCCAATCTCTTAGTAGATACCTCTGAAATTACTTATTGGTAATAAAATATGTGATTGGAGGCTGATAACTGACGTTCCTATTTGCCACATAATTGTATTAGAAATGTTAAATGTCTTCTAGTTTAGTGTAATACAGTTAGTGCCATCGTTATAGTTCATAGCCTTTCTTAATATACAGGAAAATATTGCTTGCTTTAACTAAACAAATGCAGTCTAGTCCCCTTCTTATGATGCTAAGCCATCATCCTGAGTCTTGAATATGAGATATCTTGTCTTGATGTCTATAATTTATCAGAATATTTTAGTAACATTTTATACTCTAATATCCTATACATCTGTCAATATCCCAGATATCCTTTTCATTTCATTTCAGTCTTTGCTGTAACGGTAGAGAAATTAAATCTACACTGGCGCAAGTGTCCTCAACTGTTTTTAACCTCCAATGAAGTTGGGGGCACTCAACCCCTTGAAAGATCCGTCCCCATGTGAACAAAGCAGCATAAGTACTGTAAATGAAATAGTCTACAGAACATATTCATAGAACAGTTAAATGAGAATACTTAAGTACACAGCAATGACAGAAAAAAAAACTGTCCTTAGAAGTGGAGTGGTTATTAAAATGATGAGACAGTTGACTAGCTAAAGATGCTTTCTGTTGAGATATTTCTTAATTGGTTTGTAGTGTTTCTATAAAAAAAAAATTTGGAATTGGTGAAAGCGCTGTGGAATGACTGGGGTTTCTTGCACAATTCGTAGTATATAGGAATTCTTGTATGTAAAAAAATGTATTAGTCTGGATGCTGACTAACCCTTTATTCTCTTTCCTGTTAAGAGAAAATTGTTGCTTAATTATATTTTTAATTCTTTGCAGATATTAGAATGTGAATTCTATCTTTTAGAATTAATGGTAGGTGTCTTTCTTTCTCTTACTACCAGATTAGTTTATTTTTACGGAAATAATATGTATGGAGCTGCCATTTGTTTGTTCAACCTGAGTTTCATTGTTGAGGTTCTTATTGTCCCCTTTTCTCAATTAACTTTTGTGTTTTCGAATATGTGGAGGTTAGCGACCCCCTGTATATAGGTTGCCTACCATTTTGCACTGTAAAGATTCTAGTGATCATTTTTTAAAAACTCGAATATTTTCATTATGTGCAGAAGGACTCTAAAATTTAACAGGGTGAAGACCCTAGGGTCGGAGATAGAGATGTATCTTTTGTACCAAGAAATTCTGTTCAAGTTTGGCTGAGAGAAACTTTTGAAAGTCACCATTTTCCTTTCAACTAAACTTTGGCAGTGTGCCAAAATAATAACTGAATGTGAACATTCAAATTCTCACAGTGCAAATCTGAAGATAAATTCATTAATATTTGTGAAGCATTCAGATATTAGAACATTAGTGTTCTAGAAAATACCACAAGGAAATTAATAATTCTGTATTCATTGCAGGAGTTGGATGGTGTCCTGTTAAGACAGGGCCACAGTTGATAATGAAGATAAAAATAAATATTGAACATCTGCCTCATTCCCTGAACATTGTCCATTTTGTGCATTGAATGAGGCAGGGGTCCTGTGGAACAGTACAATCATGTAGTTAAATATTTGTGCTCAAATAGTATGTGATCATGTAACTAGAGACTCTGGCATGATGCTGTGCAGGAGGCCGAATTAAGGTTGCATAGGGAACCTAAAATCTGACATTTCCTAACTTTTGAATGCCTAACTCTACAACCTAAATAATGTTGTTTTAACATAGGTTTTTAAATATGTAATTGTATACATTTGTAATGCTGCCACTACCTGTATCCAGTACTATAAAGCACTTAAACGTACCAAATACAGGTGAGCAGTTCTTGGAGTTGCCAAAATACTAAATAATTTATTTAGTGTCTGCATCTTCAGAGCATCACACCAGTATTTAGCTAACTTGAGTCTTTGTTAGGGTTGTTTGGGGTTATCTTAATTTTTATAGTGGAGGAAGAGAAACTGAGGCAGGGAGATTAAGTGACTTGTCCCAGGCTGCAGAGGGAGTGGGCTCAGATAACTATTCTACACCTCAGATAACTATTCTACACCTCAGATAACTAGTGCCAGAAAGAGGAGCCCTTTTAAATGCATGATAAGGATATGAAACATAGGTTAATTTTTGTAAATATGCAAGAACAAATAGGTTTCAGATTAACAACCGTGTTAGTCTGTATTCGCAAAAAGAAAAGGAGTACTTGTGGCACCTTAGAGACTAATCAATTTATTTGAGCATAACCTTTCGTGAGCTACAGCTCACTTCATCGGATGCATACTGTGAAAACTGCAGAAGACATTATATACACAGAGACCATGAAACAATACCTCCTCCCACCCCACTCTCCTGCTGGTAATAGCTTATCTAAAGTGATCACTCTCCTTACAATGTGTATGATAATCGAGTTGGGCCATTTCCAGCACAAATCCAGGTTTTCTCACCCTTCGCCCCCCCCCCCCCCAAACTCACTCTCCTGCTGGTAATAGCCCATCCAAAGTGACCACTCTCTTTACAATGTGAATGATAATCAAGGTGGGCCATTTCCAGCACAAATCCAGGTTTTCTCACCCCCCCCCCTTTTTCCAAAAACCACAGACACAAACTCACTCTCCTGCTGGTAATAGTTTTTTTGTTTTAAGATATGAAGGTCGCTATCTTAAAACAAAAAACTTCAAATCCAGACTCCAGCGAGAAACTGCTGAATTGGAATTCATTTTCAAATTGGATACTATTAATTTAGGCTTAAATAGAGACTGGGAGTGGCTAAGTCATTATGCAAGGTAGCCTATTTCCCCTTGTTTTTTCCTACCCCCCCCTCCCCAGACGTTCTGGTTAAACTTGGATTTATGCTGGAAATGGCCCACCTTGATTATCATACACATTGTAAGGAGAGTGGTCAGTTTGGATGAGCTATTGCCAGCAGGAGAGTGAGTTTGTGTGTGTATGGGGGTAGGGGGTGAGAAAACTTGGATTTGTGCTGGAAATGGCCCACCTTGATTATCATGCGCATTGTAGGGAGAGTGGTCACTTTGGATAAGCTATTACCAGCAGGAGAGTGAGTTTGTGGGGGGAGGGTGAGAAAACCTGGATTTGTGCTGGAAATGGCCCAACCTGATTATCATACACATTGTAAGGAGAGTGATCACTTTAGATAAGCTATTACCAGCAGGAGAGTGGGATGGGAGGAGGTATTGTTTCATGGTCTCTGTGTATATAATGTCTTCTGCAGTTTCCACAGTATGCATCCGATGAAGCGAGCTGTAGCTCACAAAAGCTTATGCTCAAATAAATTGGTTAGTCTCTAAGGTGCCACAAGTACTTCTTTTCTTTTCAAGAACAAATAGTTATTTTAACAATGTTTGAAGTTACTGCAGCAATGAGATGTCCCAAATTCCCTGTATTTGACTTTCGGTGTTTTTGTAACAGGAGAAATATTTCTTTTCTTGAGAAAGAGGTGTTTTGAATATTGGTGTTCTGTGCTGTGCTTAGGAACAGTCTCTGATCTTGAGAATTAATCAGACCTTAATTGCAACTGACTTTATTTACATGCATCTGACAAAGTGGGTATTCACCCACAAAAGCTTATGCTCCAATACGTCTTAGTCTATAAGGTGCCACTGGACTCTTTGCCGCTTTTACACATCCAGACTAACATGGCTACTCCTCTGATATTATTTACAGAAAGTTACTTTTTGTGACAATTAACATTTTCCCCCTGTAACAATGTACATGCAATATTTGATTTCAGCTTTTGTGTGTAGCACATATTCACTGACACAGCCCTCCAGTGTTGCATACCTATAACCAGTGATGAGCTGCCAAAATCTTAACAACCCGTTCCCTTCTCCCCCCACGAGGGGGACATTGCCCACCCCGGCCCCCCAGGACTCCTGCCCCATCCAACATCCCGCGTTCCTTGATGCCCCCCCCCGGACCCCTGCCCCATCCACCCCGTCCCCTGACTGCCCCCAGAACCGGGCAGGAGGGTCTTGTGGGCCACCGTAGTGGGTGCCCACCCCGCCCCTAAGAGCCAGAGGGATCTGCCGGGGGGCGAGGTGGGGAGTCCTGGTGGTGCTTACCTGGGGCAGCTCCCAGGCAGCATCCGGCAGGTTCCTCTGACTCCTAGGGGCGGGGTAGTGTAGCGGCCGCTCCCCACTAATCACATCAAAAGTGGCTCCTTAGGCGCAGACTCCGTGGGTGCTCCGAGTCTGCAGCAGCCATGGGGAAAATTTGGTGGGTGCTCCCCACCCCATGCCCGGCCCCAGCTCACCTCACCTCCACTCCGCCTCTGCCTCCTCCCCTGAACGCGCCACCCCGCTCTGCTTCTCCGCGCCCCCCTGGCTTCCCCGCAAATCAGCTGTTCGCACGGGAAGCCTGGGAGGGCTGAGAAGCAGGTGGCGGCTTCACGCTCAGGCCCAGGGTGGCAGAGGTGAGCTGGAGCGGGGAGCAGTTCCCCTGCGTGCCCCCAGGGTTACCTGCTGCAGCACGGGCGGCCCTCCTCGCGCCCCCCGGCCCCAGCTCACCTCCACCTCCCTGGGCCTGAGCACGTAGCTGCCGCTTGCTTCTCAGCCCCCTTCCCCTGCCAGCTTCCTGCGCGAACAGCTGATTCGCGGGAAGCCGGGGGGGGGGGGGCGGAGGGGCAGAGAAGCAGAGCGGGGTGGCGTGTTCAGGGGAGGAGGCAAAGGCGGAGCGGAGGTGAGCTGAGGCCGGGCATGGGGCGGAGAGCTGCCAGTGGTTGCTCTGCACCCACCAATTTTCCCCTTGGGTGCTCCAGCCCTGGAGCACCCATGGAGTCTGCGCCTAAGGCGCCACTTTTGGCTGGTTGTTAAATTTAGAAGCCCTTTTAGAACCGGTTGTCCCTCACGGAACAACTGGTTCTAAAAGGGCTTCTAAATTTAACAACTGGTTCCAGCGAACCGGCTCCAGCTCACCACTGCCTATAACTAGCTATTGTTGGGAGGCGAGGGGGGTCTTTGTTCTTCCTTGTACACTCCAACCTTAAGAGAGAGTAAGAAAATTCAGAGCTGTTTAGACTTTTAAAACCAGTGTCCGTTATTTGGCAAGCTTCTCATGTATGGTATTATTTAGTGACAGACTATTTTCTGGCAGCGTTCTGAATTTTCAGTTGGGAATTATGGGTTTGTAGGCAAATAAGGTTTCAGTGAGCTGAAGATGTGGCACTTTTCTTTTCCCTTAGAGAGGCAAAGGATGTTGACAGACTGGCAATCAGTCTATAAAATGGTATTTTAGAGAGAGAGTGCTTCCCTCATTATCCCAGAATTAGGGTGTCATGATGCTAAAATATATGAAACTGAAAGGGGAGAAAAAAAAGATTGTTAAATCAATGTTTATAATGCAAACTGATGACGGTGTATTTTCTATTAGAATTATAATTTGATTTTTTTAAACTTGTTTCTAGGATTGCTGTTTGATAGTGTATCATCCTTATAGACCTTTGCTCCAATATGTGCAGGATATGGGCCAAGAAGACATGCTGCTACCCCTCGCATGGTAATAAAGACAAAGGTTAATAATACTAGTGCATTCTTTCAGTAGGAAAGCTAACTTGAAAAAATAAACTTCAGAGATGGTCAAATACAAGTTGGTTTGGCCATGTCTAAACACAAAGTGGCAGCAATTTATTGATGTACGTGTGTCTACACAGGGGTTGACAGTGGTGTAACTATTCTGGTTTCAAACTGATTTTAAACTTGTGTGTAGACCAGAACTAGTAGCACAGTGCCTGCCCTGCTAAATAATGAACATTGAATAGAGATGCTCTTTCCCTGCTAATGTGAGAGCTTTTTGTTGTACCTTGTCATAGTAGAACATGTCAGAAGTAGTATACAGTTGATCTGTTCTTTTAGATCAGTGATTTTCAAACTTTTTAGGCTGCGTACCCCTTTCCAAATAATGTAGTCTACACCAAGTGCCTCCATCTGAGATAGGCAGAGTCAATGTGGGGGGTCTCGGGCAGAAATCTGGAATGGCACTCCATTTAGCAATAGCTTCTAGAGCATTTCAAACTGAGGTGTGCGCCCCCCCCCCCTACAGAGACATGGAGGAAGATTCAGGGGGATGAGTAACGACGCTAGGCGGTTTGGGCCAGCCCTGCGCAGTGGGGCTCGGGGAGGGAGTGCCAGCTCCACCCCCTGACTCACTTCAGCAGGTCACCCACCTCTCGGGGTTGGGGGTGTGCAACCAAAAATGGTAACTCAAAGGTGGGGCTCAACTCATTGCAACCTCCCTCCCGACAGGCTGGGTGGCCCACTAAGGTGAGTCAGGCATGGAGGTGGTACTCCCTCCTCGAGCCCAGCAGTGAGGCGCTGGCCCAAGTCGCCTGGTATTGCCGCTCGCCCTCCCCCAGAACTTTTCTCAGTGCCCCCCATTATGGGTATGCTCCCCATAGTTTGATAACTTCTGTACTAAATAAAATGCATTGTCTGCCATTACAGGATTTTTCTTGTATACCCCATGATGAGAGCTTGTATACCCCTAGAGAGATGCATACCCCAGTTTGAAAACCACTGTTTAGATTAACAAAGCTTTCTTTTTAAAATAAAAATAAAATAGGCAATAAAAAATTTAGTCTGTCACTCTGGACTGTCTAGTAGAAGCCAAGAGCTCCTGAATTATAACTTATTATAATTTATTATATATATTATTATATAACTAATTATAACTTAAACTCAGACATGGACTCCCTCCATAGCTTTGAACACGCTACTTACTCTTTTTGCCCTTGTTTCCTCCTCCGTAAAACGAGGATTATAATACCTCACAGGAGAGCTGTGAGGATTGGTTGATTCTGACAATTTTATGATGCATCTTCAAAATATTTTGCAAAGCAACAATTTATTAGGAAGCAAAATATACTTCACATAGAGTGCTTAGAAGCAAACCATTACTATGATCACCTGGGAATGAATCAAAAGATTCAAGATTAGAAGTGTATGTACATGGATACATTTCAGAGTAGCAGCCATGTTAGTCTGTATCCGCAAAAGAAAAGGAGGACTTGTGGCACCTTAGAGACTAACACATTTATTTGAGCATAAGCTTTTGTGAGCATAAGCTTTCCGATGAAGTGAGCTATAGCTCACGAAAGCTTACGCTCAAATAAATTTGTTAGTCTCTAAGGTGCCACAAGTCCTCCTTTTCTTTTTACATGGATACAGATATTCATGATTTTCCCCACCTTTATTTCTGACTGTCTTAATGTAAACAAATTCCTCCTAACTTTTAAAATAAAAACAGACTAACTTCTGAAGTAAAATGAGAATAAAGGTGAACAACAGAGTGTTTACTACTTTTGTTTGCACAGGAGGATAGTGAATGACACATATAGAACTGATCTTTGTCTACTGTACCCTCCCTTCATGATAGCCCTAGGTAGGTAATAAGTTCAACTATTTCACTGTATCTGAATGGTTTCATCTTTCATAGTGTTCCATGAATGGGCATTTCTTAGCAAATCCACTGTACTAAAGAATGTTGATTTGTTTATCCCCACCATCTCCTTCAATTAGCACTTCAGATGTTATTGATGGTGCAGTCATATGGCTTGAAAATCTTGCAAGAAACCGGAAAGCTTGATTGTGAGCTTAATCCTTGAAAACTATGTCTTGGAAGTGTTGTAGAATAGACAGTGGTAAAGGGAGGCAGAAACCCTCAATTATAAAGAAGGAAATAATAGTAGAAAATATATTCTGAAAATTAATCTTTTAACAAACTAAGCTTTGTTCAGTAGACATGTCCCTACACTTATTTTACTTTGCAGCTTGCCTGCATGTGGCCTGTGTTGTCCAGCAGAAGGATGCAAGGCAGTGGTTTGCTGAGTTGTCTGTTGATATGGAGAAGGTATTTTTTTTTCTTACTTGATACATACTGACTAGAAAGCTATGTCATTAATATTATAAATTGATATTTTGCTTGCCTATCATTTAGATTTATACTCTTTTTAGATGATACACACTATGCATTGTTAAACGTAGGCAGGAGTTGGATGGGAGACATCTCAAAAAACCCAGATATTTCAGAAAGAGGACTTGGTTATTCAGCGCATAGCACTCTGTCCGCTGAGCCAGTTGTCAAGCACAGAGTGCTTCTGGAGTTGTCATTTTTCAGATGAAACCTAAAACTGAGCTCTTGTTTAGTTGTGGTCATGAAATAGCCTGTGGCATCTTTCACAAAATAAAGGTGTTAGCCCAAGCATTCTGGCCAAACTCCAGTGTGGGCAATTCTGCCTAATTCTTTCTGCAGTAGCAGTTGCTTACTCGCCATTCTTATTTTTAATATAACTGTTCTGTACTTTCCAAAACGTTTTACACACAGCAAATCTTTCTGGATGAAAAGCACTATGACCCCAATTAATTAAAGCACTTAAGCTTATGCTTTAGAGCTTTGCTGAACCAGGCTATATGAATTACACTTTTGGGCTTGACTGCACAGCACAGTTGCAGTGTGTTGTGCATACCAGTGTAAGGTAAAATGAGCTGAACACGACAGGGAGTACAGGGGGAAACTACTCTGTACCAACGGGTGGTGCTATGTAGCTACCAAGTTACTCCTGCTGCTGAACATATTTGTGTGTGTTTAGACTTCCCAGTTCTGATACGAATAACAGTCTAGGCTTAACAGTTCACATCACCAGACTCCTTAGTCAATTGTGACTGATTTCAGAGATGTGTGTTGCTTCCATGGTGCTTAATGCTTTATCTAAACTCAGGTTTTGTTTGTTTTTGTTTTTACTATCTGCCAACATGAGAGCCATACATCACATGCAGTCCTTGCTTAGTAAAAATACTGCACTAGAAATTCATATTTGTAGAGGTTAGTAGGAAGAGAGGGGGGAGCTAAGATGGCCACAAAGCAAAAAAAAGTGGTATGAATAAAAAAAAATTACAAGAGGTGAAAAAAATAAAAAATTGGTAGACAGTACTTTGGCAAACACAAGAGCAGCTGTGGGAAAGTTACAGTTCATAGGACAAAATACTTGTGCACTGGTCAGCCCCTTCCCTCCTTCAGGGTACCTAAACCAGTGGTTATGAAACCTTGGTCCACGGAACACCTGTGGTCTGCAGACCACTTGCTGGGTGATCCATGGTGAGCTGGCTGGTTATATGCTACTGCCTATCCTGTTTACCAGCTGCTAAATAGCCTTAAAAGAAGCTAAAAATACATACCTAATATTATTTTTCCATGTAACAGGTGGGATGTTTAGTTTTTGATGGGGAGAAAAAAAAGTGGTTTGTGTAATTCTGAATGGGAGGCAAAGTGGCCCAAGAAACGCACTCTCTTTGCAGTATCATAGAAATGCAGGGCTGGAAGGGATCTCGAGACATCAAGTCCAGCCCTCTGTGCCTGAGGCAGAATATGTGAATCTAGACACCATCCCTGACAAGTGTTATGATGTAATTTACCCTAAGGAAAAGCTTTAGAACCCCTAAGCTAGACCAAGACCCTCTCAGCTATCTGTGGAAATAGTTAAGATTGCTAAATTGTTGAGACTGATGTGAAAGCCACTCTGATATAGAGAAAGCATCATATTTACATTTTGGTTGGTTGATGGCTACACATTTGTATGGGTAGTGATGAACACAGAACCACTATAGTATCTGATCTCAAATATCTCTTTCTAATTAGATTTTGGAAATAATCAGGGTCATTCTAAAACTGTATGAACAGTGGAAGAACTTTGATGAGAGGAAAGAAATGGCTACTATTCTTAGTAAGATGCCTAAACCGAAACCACCTCCAAACAGGTACTATACAGTTTTTACTTTTCTTTTTTCATACCACTTCATATATTGTACAATGTCTTAAACTAGACACTTCCTCTTAAAACACAAGTGAATATTTCATTAGGGGCATAGTAAATACAGTATGTTTACAGTCCAGATCTTTCCATGATAGACTCACTCCTGTCTACTAGTTTGGGAGCCATGAAGAAGAATTGCTTCTGGTTGATGAGAATAGTTTTAAACATTTTATTGTTAGTTTTTCTGACTAAAGTCATTTAATGGGAACTTCGTTTACATGAGTTCACCATAACTAGGAAGGCCTGACTGCTCAGAACTGCATGTAAAATTTGCTCTTGTAGGTACTGTGATTGGGTGTTGTGTAAATTGACAATCTGCACATGCAAATCACCACTAAGGTGCAAATATGTAAGCTTAATTATGGTAACTGCAGAAGTAAACTGGGTGCACAACTGGACATTTTTTTTGCATGTGCAATTTTGAAAATCAAGTCCTTCAAGTGCTGGCTGTTTTGCATGCTTTCTAGTGGAATTAATTTATTTAGACCTAGTTATCAAAACAGTGGGTTTTTGATTGCATAGAGTTAGGAGAGGCAAAAAAAATGCTTTGAATTTTGTGCCTAAAGATTCTCTATTTCAAGAGGTTTTTAGTACTGTCTTCTATTGCACAATAGTTCTTCCTTTCTTAAAAGCTAGCAATGTAACTAATATACATTTTGTATCTGAAATATGTATTTCTCCCTCTAAACAGTGAAGGAGAACAGGGTCCAAATGGAAGTCAGAACTCCAGCTATAATCAGTCTTAAGACATTCCAAAGAACTTTATTATGGACCACTTTGGATCAAGACATACTGGGATCTTAATTGTGTTCATGAAATGGACAGAAGGTTTTAATAACGTCTTTGACAAAGAACTTGAAGAATAAATGGCTTGTTTCTATCAAGCGTGTTGAAAGCTTTTTCTTTAAAATTGCATGAACCCCTTTAACACTGGAACTACTGTATTAGCAAGATTTCTCAATGTAAGGAATTCAGAAGTTTTGAACAGAGCTTCAAAAGATTCACACATCCACTTCAGTATTAATAGTTTTGTTTGCTTTCAGAAAAATGTAGGTTGCCATTAAAGTGAAGATTATTTTTTAAACTGCAGTAATGAAGCCTGTCGAGTGTAACCATATTAATGGCCCTGTGTCTTCATCATTTTGTTTATTACTGAAGGAGGATGGTGTATAAATCTTGTCATTTACCGAGTTTGTTTTATAGCTAAGGAATATTATGTTTAAAAAAACCCTAATCTTTCAGCAACAAAGGCTGCAAAAACCTGTAAAAAATGTTACGAGTTTCAGTAAAACCAGTGCAGGAAAGAAATTAAGTTCCTCTTCTGAACTAAAAGGATGCTGTTTTACTCAGTACATGGAGCTCGGATATTTTTCCACAAAACCTAGTAGCCCAGCTTACCAGAAAAGTGCAATATGTATAGTGGACATTTGAGGGGAAAAAAAAAGTTTTCACCATTTCAAATATTAAAGTTTAAATTATTTGCAAGTACTATACTGTGCAATCAGATGTTTTAGAAGCACGTAATCATATTTGGATAATATTGCTATCTTTTTATTGTGGATTTTTTTGGTACAAAAAGGTATACACTGTTAGTCTGCCTTCATGTTATGAATGAGATTCTGTAGAAGTTTACTGAAAGGAGTAAGCTTCATCCTGGCTGTTTTAAAATGTGACTAAGAGTAGCTCTTGAGAATTACTGCAATGGGATTTTGTTACCTACTTGCTGGACAAAATGAGTTTCCTTCAAACCATGGGCTGTACCCTACATGCCTGAGTCATGCAGAACTCCCACTCAAGTCAAGATTTGGCCCTAAAGATTTTAATGTTTTGTCCCCCTTGCCCAACAGCTTGCGTACTATTTAAGTCTCAACTGAAAATGCTGATTTGCCCACAAATAAAAGTTGAATGAGAAAAACTGAAGTCTAATAGCTTTTTGTCCAATCTAAATTTTTTCCCAAAGCATAGTAACACATTACACAGGTCTAAAGTATAGACAATAAGTGCTTGAAAAACCTGGCCCGATGGACCTTGTTAATTCTAAAACTTGACCATTTAAAAACCACCTTACTTTTCTGTAATCCTCTACTGGACTCCTCATTCAAAGATGCAACCCAAAAGGTGGTTTTGTATGCAGTCAATGAGGCTAGTTGCACTTATTCAAGTTTTTTTTTTTAATAAAACATTTAATGCAAATTATTAACACTTTATACTGAGAAAACAGGCATTTTAGCCTTATTACATTACTTTTGTTGGTAAAGACACTTGGTCCTTCTACTCTTGAAAATTGACATGTTGGTTTTGACCCTTGAAACTTAAACAGTATTGTTTGTAATGAGGACATGAGTAGGAATAAATCAATGCAAAATGACAATGATTGTGTGTAGTTCTTAACACTGATTGATTGTTCCTGAACTAAAGCTTTACTGAGGTAGTATTCCTCAGTAGTAGCTGTGTTAATAAGTATTTTACATAATCTACAGTTTTAATACAATGTTTTAGACTAGAAAGTTAACCATTTGTTTTCAAAACTTCTTGCTTCTGCATGTAAATGTTTTCATGATTATAGTGGTGAAAGTATTTTTTCCATATAGTTCTAAAGAGTTCACTAATTGCATTAGACAAGTATCACTTCTCTGCTAGTCCTCAGAGCTAAAACGCCATTACACTGTTACCACAGATACAAGAAAATGGTGACCAGAAAATCCCTACCCCAATGTGGGGGTAGGGGGGATAGGAGGAGAAACAGTATAACAGGTTATAATGTAAAATAGCTCTGACTGTTAAGATATGGTAGACTGACCTCAAAAAGAAACTGTATCCACCCCCCCAATAAAGTAAACAGCATAAATTGAAAGCCTTCCTAAAGTGAAATAGACTAGCTGGTTTCTGGTACCCTTTAGTAGGATGTCTACACCCTTTAGATTTTTTTTAAAGTACTTATCCCCACATATTTGTACAAACATTTAAGATACACATGACACCAACTGTCCCTCTAAGGCAAATCTACATTAACACCCTTAATAAAAGCCTGCAAGAGAGAACTTTAAAGTGTGCCCTTATCACCAACAAATCAAGGTTCTGTCAAAACAACTTAGGTGGAGAGGAGGAAGAGTTCTACTGTTGAAAAGTGCCCTTCCAAAAGCACCCTCTTCCTTTAAAAGGGGGCGGGGGATGGCTAGCTTAGTGCTCCTGTAAGTCCCACCTTTGGGGACTGAACATAAAGAGGTGGTCTGTTAGGTCATCAAGTAGTATGCCAAAGAAGGCTAAGTCAAAATTCCAACTCCAGAGGAAAGCTATTTGTACAGATTAGGGGACATGTGTAGTTCACTTATCATATAAAGCACTGCTAATTCATGTTCCAATAACTTGCAAATGGACTTAAGCAGCGATTCTCAACATTTCCCCACACAGTAACCTCTCTATTCCTATTTAGCAAGAATCTATCCTGGTAATTCTCCCATCCCTCATTTGGCAATATAAACAGCTGTGTACCCTACACTGAACCCACTGCTCAATAGTTGCTACCCCATTAGAGATCATTAAAGTTGTCTAGTCATGCACAAGTAACCAGTCAGACCCATATCTAAAAGAAAAAGAAGAAAAATCTACATTTCTTCTCCTATGCAGGTGGAAAGTTAAAGGGCAAAGCTGCTCATGGAGTAGCCTGTGATCTAACCTGCAACAAATTGCAAGTCTAAGCACAACAGAACTTCAGTTTTATAAGCTATAAGTTATGCAAACCATTTTTCTTGATGGGGAATATGTTACATAATGAAAATGTCAAAGCAGCAAGTAGACATCCCTTCATATTCTGATTCCTTCAATGCATTGGAAGTCACTTTGCCATAGCATGAAGGACAAAATGATGCAGTGCATCAAACTACAGCTTATGCACCATACCGATTATAACTTCATAATGTTCAATTTTATGAACTCAATGCCCAGTTTATAAACTGGGGATTCTACTGTAATACAATAGCAAGTGTACTTATATGAGCAGGGTTGCTAATAATTGTTGATCTGTATTTCTCACTGTAGAGCTAGTCAGTGTCTAACTCCCTTGGGCTCTGAAGAATCCAAACCTAAATCAATCACATCTATACTATCAGGTCATATGCCTAAATTCTTATTTCACATTAGGCTCATAAGGAAGGTATATGAATTGTCTGTAGTTTTCTAGCCAAAAGTCTATATTTACTTTTAAATGTTACTAAACCTTCTTGAAGTATCTTTACATAGCTCTTGTAGCCAGGCTCATTACATTTTGCAGTCAAATTTGAGAGTGTCACCTCTTGTGTTTGCAGGATCTGTTCCTCCCTTCCTATTTGCCCTTCTGACAAGACAGGTTAAGAACAGCTACTATATGCAGATTAGTACCAAGTATCATTCTAACCCAATTAAAATAACTGGGCAAGAGGACTATATAACAAAATTTATAAAGTCTGTTCATCACCATAAGTTTAACCATGATCCCCTGTTGTACACATTACTATGAAGTATATCATTAGTACAGTATGTTCAGTTTTTACTTTGGAGTCCTTAGCTTTAAATTTTTTTCATGGAGTAGTTTCATAGTAATTTTAACATATGACCAAAGGAGAATCAAATTGCTACTTGTGTAATCTTCAACTCTCAAATCACATTTTAAATTCAGAATAACCAGCTACTTTTAACAGTGTTTATTAAGTTTACATATATAAACAAACATTCCCCTTCACCCCACATTCTCAATCTTATTTCACACAAGGCTAGTAATATCTTGTATTAATATCAGGACACTATAACAAGGCTTATATTCCAAAATTCATCTTCATTGTTTTGTCTCTGGTGCTTCATATTTTGCCCACTCCTCCAAACCACCAGCATAGTGCTGAACTCTGAAAGTACACAGAAGATTGTCAGTGTTATGGAGATGTTATTACTGGTAATCTTGTACAAAAAGAATAAAGCCTAGTTGCTTTAAAAAAAAAAAAGTATTCTCTAGTTTCTCTAAGAAACACTGTACAATAGTGGTAGTGTTCATTGTTGCAAAACAGTCTAATTGCTCCTAGTTTCACAGAGCAAAAATGCAAATATTTTGCAGTAGTCTTTATGGTTGACTTTCACTTAGTGATCCTATTTCAACTAGAGAAAATGAACAACATGGGGGATTAATGTCAAGCAAGTGGTGGCATATGGTCAATGCATATTGCATTCAGAAAAAAAAAAAACACAGGCCATGTTTAAATACAGTTTGATCAAGTAGTTGTGTAATAGGAGTAGATTCACTTTACTTTGGGAGATTTAAGTGGTACCAATTTAGTCCTTATCAACTTAGTCCAAACCTCACTTTGAGACTAGATTCAGATCTATACATTCTAAGGAGACGTTTATAAACATGTTGAATGCATTGGTAGAGTGCTAACATTTCAAACCATTACAGTGAAGATCATTTTGGCCTCACATTTGCACTAGTTTAAGAAAGTTGGAGTTTTTGTTTTAAATCCACCATTCATGTTTTCCATGCATACTTGTTTGATGGGTTCCTAGTTCTTCATTAGCTAACCTGTTATGTTTGCAATATGGATTTCAGATTGTTAAGGAGACTCCCTATATTAATGGAGGTGAGGGAGAGAAGGTTCAATATCTGATTGGTCCCCCACACCTTCCCAAATGCTATACTACCTAGAAGATAGCATAAAGGGGCAGGTGGGTGGGTAGTGGAGCATTTAGGGCCAGAATGACAGTTTAAAAAGAACTGTGTGCTGACATTAACTGAGGAGGTTTTTCCAATCTATAAAGTAACCAAACTTAAGAAGGAAAAAACAAAAAAAGAGCCTTTTCTATGAAGCAATATGAAAAACAGATAGTGAAGTTTCAACATGTTAAAAACAAACCAAACAAAAAACCCCAACAACAAAAACACAACCCACACACAAAACAATGTGGGGTCATAGATGGTTTAGTCTGGTTCTACTCAGAAGAGTAGAGTAGAAGATTGGAATTATGGCGTTCCATTTTGGTATGAACTATTTCCACTTCAATATTTGCTCAGTTTACAAGAGCAAAGGCTGCCAGCAGTCCAAACTCTGCCTGCGCCCTGAAAGTCAGATTGATGGTTAGATAAGAGGAACCTGAGTAATAAGAATTCTGCAGCTAAGTGCTGCTTTCATCTTACCCCTGTGCAATCATGTTATGCCCTTAATTACCATATACCTGAGCAATCTAGCAAAGGATTATATAATTGAGGGCATGATTTGACGACAATAGGGTTGCACAGATGGCACTGCAATTGAAAATCAGCCAACAGTTTTTTTTGACATGCAACAAGAGAATTCAGTTAAGCCTCCCAGAACTGTTCTAGTTTTGCAGAACTGACAGCAGTGGGAAAAGTCTTGTTACTGATTGACCAGAGATGTCTCAAACTACATTCTGGGAACAGCTGCAAAGTACCATCTTTATTTAAAACAAAACCCAAAACAAAAAACAAAAAAACACCACACCAACAGTTTAGGTACTCGTTATTCCATTTGTTTTCACATCTTCACCTGTACCCTTAAGATAATGGCCATACTAGGTCAAACCTGTGGTCCATCTAGCCCAATATCTAGTCTCTGATAGTGGCTAGTGCCAAATACTTCTGGCAGTAGGAGGGGTAGGGAACACCTTGAGTATGGTGTTGCAATCCCACTATTTTTCACTGCAGTGAAAAACTGATTAAAAGAATTAATTTAGCTTCCCTGCAACAGCTTTGTCTTTCTTGAGTGCTCCTTTAGCTCCTTGATAATCCTTTGGCACATCCTGCTTCTGATATACTTAATTTTTCTTGCTGTTAGTTTCTGTTTTTTAAAGTTGATCTTCCAGTTTTCTTGGCCTGTCTAATTATACTTTTACACTCGATTTGCCAAAGTTTATGCTGACTTCCAATTTTTAGAAAATGACTTTTTGCCTGTAATTGCCTTTTACACTGCTGTTTAGCTTATGTTTGTTCTTGATTTGGGGTATACATTTAGTTTGAGCCTATATTATGGGGTTTTTAAATTAGTCTCCCTACAGTTTTCAGACATTTCACCCTTGTGACTGTTCCTTGTCATTTCTGTTTAACTAGCTTCCTCATTTTTGTGCAGTTCCCCCTTTTGAAGTTAAATGCTACTGTGGTGGGTTTATTTTGGCATTTGCCCCCCTTACAAGGGTAAGTTTAATTACATTATGCTCGCGATTACCAAACTGTTCAGCTATATTTCCCTCCTGGACCAGAGCCTGTGCTCCACTTGGGACTAAATAAAAGATTGCCTCTTCCATTGTGGGTGCCAGGACAAGCTGCTCCAAGAAGCAATCGTTTATAGCTTCTAGATGTTTTATGAGCATCCTTTCCTGAGGTGATATGTACCCAGTCAATATGAAGAAGATTTAAAAAAGCAATAATAATGGGGGATTTCATCTGTCTTTGCAGCCTCTCTAATCTCCCTGAGCCCACCAAGGAAGCAGTCTACTTTGCAGACAGCAACTTTTCCCATTAATCCTGTTCTCCATACAGGAGCTTACCCAGCCAGCACCTCAATTGCTTACCTGCTGAAGCCCAAAGACATAGCAATATCCAATGCCTTCTTGCTTCGCACTCCTGCCATGCAGGAAAAGACTAGATGGTCAGATTTAGCAGGCATATCTTGATTGTACCGTTCTTTAAAGTCTTTTGGGTTCATCTGTAGAGCTTCCATAACCTCACCCACTGTAAGAATAGATGCAAAGTCTTTTATGTGAAATTCATGAAGGAGTTTTGTTGGTGAAGATTTATACTAGTTAGCTTCCCAGAAGAGTCTGACAAAAACAAGTTGCAATATGTATGACAAGTCACCAGGGTTTGCTTGCAAGTTTAGGCTTAAATGTTTCTGATCTTGTTGCTATTCAGTGATATGTATGACTTACATGGTATGTTGATGGAGCCAGGAATTTTTCCAAACTGTCCAGTTTCCCACTTCTCTCGAACATCAATAAGAGTCGTTTGGGATTTTAGCAAGCCTTTGAGTTCTTTATAGGAAAGACTACAATCAGCAGCAGTGTCAAGATTACGAAAGATCACATTAACAGTTCTCAGACCTAGAAAAAGAAAAAGGACTGTCATCCCACAAGAAGCAGGAAAAATCATAAAGAAATCTTGGAAAAGGTGGTTACCTTAGTAATCATGCTAATAAATAATAATAATATTAAGATGCGGCAATCTGGGGGAATTTACCACTGAAAATTCACTAAGGCCTGGTCTACACTACGGGGTTAGGCTGAATTTAGCCATGTTAGGTTGATTTAAAAAAAAAAAAAAAAAAAGACTGTGTCCACACAACCAACCCCATTCCGTCAACCTAAAGGGCTCTTAAAATGGACTTCTGTACTCCTCCCCAACAAGGGGAGTAGCTGAAGAGTTCATCTAGCATTCATGCACCTGGAAACAGTCAGGGCACACCCTGACTGTTGTGTAGGAGCAATGCACACATTGCTCTGCTCTGTCCAAGGACATGGACCATGGAAACATGGACCATTTGGGAAGTCAAAATAAGGACATCAACCGTGGGAAGCTTCCTTGGCCTAGGCTCAAGGCCTGAGAACAAAGATTGTAGTAGATAGAGGCTGGTAAATAAGAATATTAATCAAAGTCATATTATTTCCTTTGTTGATGCCTTTTGCGGTTGGAGTATGTAATGCGCAGGGGGGAGAGAAATAAAAGAGAGGTGGAAAAGCTGACAGGGGAGATCCCGTCAGCAGACCAGCCTGCTTGCTTGTCTAAAGCCGTGTCCTGTCTTGTATTGAACCGCCACAGAGTAGCACTAAAAATCAACCTTCCTGGGTTGAATCTGGGGTAGTGTGGACACAAATCAATGGTATTGGCCTCCAGGAGCTATCCCCGAGTGCTCCATTGTGACTGCTCTGGACAGCACTTTGAACTCCGATGCACTAGCCAGGTATACAGGAAAAGCCCCAGGAACTTTTGAATTTCATTTCCTGTTTGGTCAGCATGGCAAACTTAGCAGCACAGGTGACCATGCAGTTCCCCAGAATCATAGAACGGTTCTACGCTCCCCCTACCATCTCCATCCCTGAGGTTATTGCAGATTAGAAGGCGGGGGGGGGGGGGGGAAGGGGGAAAGAAGAATGCATGGTTTCAAAACAATAGTTACCTTATTTTGAAGTGGGGAGGGTGGTTGGCTTACAGGGAATTAAAATCAACAAAGGGGGCGGGTTTGCATTAAGGAGAAACACACAACTGTCACACTGACGCCTGGCCAGTCATGAAACTGGTTTTCAAAGCCTCTCTGATGCGCAGTGCGCCTTGCTGTGCTCTTCTAATTGCCCTGGTGTCTGGCTGCTCAAAATCGGATGCCAGGTGATTTGCCTCAACCTCCCACCCCGCCATAAACGTTTCCCCCTTACTCACAGATATTATGGAGCAAACAGCAATAACAATGGGAATGTTGGTTGTGCTGAGGTCTGACCAAGTCTGCAAACAGCGCCAGCAAGCTTTTAAATGTCCAAAGGCACATTCTACCAACATACAAATTTCCTACTTTCTGCACTTGCTCAGCCTATAGTTGAACTGCTCCTTACTACTGTCCAGTTTTCATGAGCCATGGGAGCAAGGGGTAGGTGCGACCGTGCGGTGCTGCCGGCTGGGAGAGCAGCCTGAGGCAGAAGCCTCCAGCTTGCATTGTATTCCAGGCAGGGCTGAATCTCCATGAGATGAAACTTAAAGAAAATGACCTGAAATCTCTGGCTCCCAATCAGTGCTCTAAGAGGAGAATAGCCATATCTGTCCAGGTGCCCCAATCGACCTCGCCGAGGTCTGCCAGGAGACGTACGACAGCTATCAGTCCTACTGCACCATCTGCCGTGAAAGCAAGGAGCTGCTGCTGTGTAGCAATGCCGTACCGCATCTGCCACCGGCACCCAGGAGACGTACACTGATGGTGAGCCGAGCGGGCTCCATGCTTGCCGTGGTATAGCATCTGCATGGGTAACCCAGGAAAAAAGGAGCGAAACGATTGTCTGCCGTTGCTTTCATGGAGGGAGGGGGATCTGATGACATGTACCCAAAACCACCCGCGATAATGTTTTTGTTCCATCAGGCATTGAGAACTTAACCCAGAATTCCAATGGGCAGCGGAGACTGCAGAAACTGTGGGATAGCTACCCACAGTGCACCGCTCTGTAAGTTAATGTTAGCCACGGTAGTGAGGACACACTCCGCCGACTTAATGCACTTAGTGTGGACATATGCAAGCGACTGTATAAAACTGGTTTCTAAAAATCGACTTCTATTAAATCGACTAAATTTCATAGTGTAGACATACCCTATATGGCAAGTTTACAGATGTTAATGTGAGCCTGAGTTATTCCACTATCTGTCACCATGGTTATCCTAGTGCCTCCCAAAATTAGAAATAAAGTATATACACATGTTTCTCTCTTTCCAAGAGTCAGGAAGGACTGGGCTGTTTATTCTGTGTGAGGTTCTAAAGTGGATTTTAAAAAGGTATTGTGAGATGGCTCAATCAAAGAAGTGGGATTTGCTTCCTATCTTTGATCAATACTGACAATGAAATTGTTTCTTTTTGAAACTTTATCAGCACAGGTGCAGGCCTCAATCACAAAAATGCAGACTGTATTTTCTACTAGTATTTATGTTAAGGTTTGTGCTTGTCCCTCAGGTTCATTTGCATTTTAATAAAACTCTTAAGCACTATAAAATGGATGTTTATTTACAATCCTTGGTTTCCTACTGGCTGGTCATAGACTCATTCCACTTACATACAATCATTTTTATTGCTACCATCAGGTTAATAAAAATAGAAATTTAAAAAAAAAGTTATTTATGATGTATAAGAAAGAGGCCTAAAAAGATACTTATTTTGGTTGTGTGTTTGTTAATTTCAGATTTGTTCCTTCAGTTATTAGCACTTCCAGTAAATATGTGATCATACCTTCAAGATGTCCTCCAGCAAAAACAAAACACTCTGTATAAAAGGACTGATACTTAGACTCAAATTTTTAAGGTATTTTGGTGTTGCTGTGCTCAGCATTCCAACACCTAACATGAGAAAAGGGGAGCCAGGAAAGGGCTCTAAATAAGAGACTAGCATGGCCCGAGAGGTGTTAAAATCACTAACACTATTTAGATTTTACTATTACACTTACTATTTGTATTGCAGTAGTGCCCAGAGGCCCCAGCTTCATTGTGCTATGTAAACTCCATTGTGCTATTCTGTAAACACAGATTTAGGAGCCTGTGTCATTTCAAAGGCAGTTTAATCACTTCAGAGCCAAAATCCTATTGACAGTCAATTGGACTGAGTTCAGCAACACCTAAACACCTTTAAAAACGTGGGCCATAGTCATTTTAAATTAGAAGCATTCACATAAAATTTAACAGTGATTAAGAGTCACTTTCCTTTTCAATTGCTAAAATTCTCTTGACTTTCCAGATACCACTTGTCTGCTTGTACAGTCATCCTAGAGCCAGGATAGTCAATTATTTTTTGTCAGACTCCAGAGAGAGAGACAGGAGGAAAAAAGAACACCACAGGACCCAACAATAAAGTATAAAAAGATGTCAGGTTTCAGAGTAGCAGCCATGTTAGTCTGTATCCGCAAAAAGAACAAGAGTACCTGTGGCAATTTAAAAGCTTATCCTCAAATAAGTTAGTCTCTAAGGTGCCACACGTACTCCTGTTTTTTTAAAGAGATTTCAGAGTCCATTCAAAAGCATCTGATGGTCTGGATTTGGCCCACGGTCTGCCTATTGATTACCTCTGTCTTAGAGTCTTCAGGCCTTGTGTGCCTGATTATAGAAGGCCCACGCACTTCTTAGACTTCTGTAATCACTAACAAAGAAGGGAATGTCCATAACTCTGCACAAACATTACGGTTGTTCTTTCAAAAGTTTACAGCTGAACATTGACTTAATACTTCTTTGGAACTTAAATATGCAGAAGAAAAATGTTGCTTTTAACGATCATTGTTTAAAGTGAAACAAGCACAGAAACAGTTTCCTTACCTTGTAAAAAAAAATTTTTTTTTTTTGGTTTAAGTTTACATTTAACATATTTGTCTTTTTTTGTCTCTGCTGCCGGATCACATACTTCCGGTTCCAAAAGAGGTTGATCAGTCAGCTCACAACTTCTACCGTATCACCACACCCACCATGGCTCTCTAATATCGTGGGACCTAGGGCTACGACTACCGTGTAAACAAAATCTAGGCGAGCGTGATACCAGAGTCAAGGGCAGGGCAGCAGCTTCAGCGGATGCTATGGAGCAGCCTCACTTCGCAGGAGCCTGCTCAGTCCCAGCCGTGCAATACTTTTTTAACGTTACACCGCAGCTGCCAGACACGCGCCCCCCCCCGCCGCCCTGCCACTTTCACGTGCAGCAGTGCCCCAAGCCTTGCGCCTGTCCCTGGCGCGCTAAGAACGGAGCTTCGCCTCCCCCACACGACGGCCGCGGCCCCCTGCCGACGCTCCTCTAAACGGGGCTAGGAACATTCTCCGGCCTAAGCCCGGCACTCTGCCCAGCGGGACAGCCGGCTGCACGGCGCCTACTCACCGGGCTGCAGCGGGCGGGGGCCGCTGCTGCTCCAGCCCCCGGCCGCCCGCGGGACACCAAGCAGAACCCGGGCGCCGCACCTCAGCCCGCGGCAGCCCCACATGACCGGACCCCAAGCAGCGGCGCCTGCGTGCGTCTCTGTTCGCCCTCAGGCCGCCCCGCTAGGCAGCGCACGACAGGCGGAGCTCGCTCTTGTCTGGCCTGCTGAGCCAAGCCCTTGAAAGGGCCTGCCCGCGTGACAGCAGGGCTGCGCCCATTGCGGGCGTGAGGCGGGGTGATGGAGCTGGCAAAGTGAGGCCTCCTAGCTGGGGTTTCCCGTGAAATGGACAAGTGGAGACCCACGCCAGTAGTTGATTTTTCTGCTTAATTAAAAAAAAAAAAAATCCTTGTTGTGGAGTCCCAACGTTGGAAAATTAATGTGGAATTTAACAGACTTAAGCTAACAAGTGCAAGCTTCTGTGTTTACCCTTCAGCTAGCCCAGCGAGCAAAGATCGCTCCAAACTTGGGACTCCCACATGGCAAGGGTAGTGCTACCAGCTGAGGCTACAGGCTGGTGATTCAGCCGGTAGCATTATGGGCACAGCTCCCATCTCGCAATCTTACAAACAATGTCTCTTCAAAGAAACGAAAAGGCTTTGGTGTAAAGGTTGAGAAACTCATATTAGAAGTTGAGCAGCGGTGGTTTTTCTGTCAAGCAATCGGGCGTATGATTTTTTTAAAAAGTGTGTTTCTATACATATATAAGATAATGTGGATTACTGAAAAGATGAGTATTTTATAATGCTTTTATAAAGACTCTAGCAGCCAGCCAAGTGGCATATGGTGGCTGTACATTTCCACATGGAAGACCTGTCACTGGTGCAAACCAGTCATGTCATATAATAAACTTTTCCAACCTTCAGCCTAAAAGAGGAGGTAGCATAGTTTAGAGGTGAAAGTAGGGACTAGGAGTCAATAAACTAGGCCATTGGCCCTACAGTGACCAAAGCATTTGCCCAAAGAATCTCAAAGGCTCAAAAGCCGTGAGTCAGACCCCCACCCCCAATTCATGAAATTGGCTTAAAATAGTGAAGTTTTTTAAAATAATAGTTTTTCACCTACCTTATTATTTTTTACCCTTTGGGGGAAGCTGCTCACAATCTGTGTTTGATCCTCACAGGGTCAAAATTTAACCTTAAATGTCCACACAAAAATCCAAGCCTCCCCCTTGACTACAGGCCTTATAAATACATGTACCAAAATAATAACATAGCAACAGTATTTCTAAAGGTCTCATTATCATGTTATCTAGATGCCTTTATGCTAATTCAGAAGTACATCAATTTTCTCAAGGAAAATGTACACAGCTCCCTTCCCCAAAAGACTAAAACAACTTATTAAATACAGTTCAAATTTAAGTCACCAGTGCTACAATCAAATCTGTACAAATCTGATTCCAAGACTGAGGGGGGAAAGAGCAATTTCCTTGAGCATACAGCCACAGCCATTTTGGCTATGTCTACACTGCAGCTGGGAGAGTGCCTCCCAGATTAGACAAACTTGCACTAGTTCAGTTTAAGCTAGTGCGCTAAAAATAACACTGTGGGCCTTGCAACATGGGCAGTAGCTCACACTAGCTATTTGAGCTCAGATCCTGGAGGTGAGGCAGGCTTGGACATGGGTGGCTAGCCTCAGCCACCACCCGTGCTGCTATGTCCACCTTGATATTTTTAGCATGCTAGCTCAAGCAGGGCTAGTACATGTCTGTCTACCTGAGCTGGGTGGCTCACTCCCAGATGCAGTGTAGACGTACCCTTTGGCACTCAGTGCTTATAAGGAAAAGGAGTACTTGTGGCACCTTAGAGATTAACCAATTTATTTGAGCATGAGCTTTCGTGAGCTACAGCTCACTTCATCGGATGCATACCGTGGAAACTGCAGCAGACTTTATATACACACAGAGAATATGAAACAATACCTCCTCCCAGCCCACTGTCCTGCTGGTAATAGCTTATCTAAAGTGATCATCAGGTTGGGCCATTTCCAGCACAAATCCAGGTTTTCTCACCCTCCACCCCCCCACACAAATTCACTCTCCTGCTGGTGATAGCCCATCCAAAGTGACAACTCTTTACACAATGTGCATGATAATCAAGTTGGGCCATTTCCTGCACAAATCCAGGTTCTCTCACCCCCTCACCCCTCTCCCAAAAACCACACACACAAACTCACTCTCCTGCTGGTAATAGCTCATCCAAACTGACCACTCTCCAAGTTTAAATCCAAGTTAAACCAGAACATCTGGGGGGGGGGGGGGTAGGAAAAAACAAGGGGAAATAGGCTACCTTGCATAATGACTTAGCCACTCCCAGTCTCTATTTAAGCCTAAATTAATAGTATCCAATTTGCAAATGAATTCCAATTCAGCAGTTTCTCGCTGGAGTCTGGATTTGAAGTTTTTTTGTTTTAAGAGAGCGACCTTCATGTCTGTGATTGCGTGACCAGAGAGATTGAAGTGTTCTCCGACTGGTTTATGAATGTTATAATTCTTGACATCTGATTTGTGTCCATTTATTCTTTTACGTAGAGACTGTCCAGTTTGACCAATGTAAATGGCAGAGGGGCATTGCTGGCACATGATGGCATATATCACATTGGTGGATGTGCAGGTGAACGAGCCTCTGATAGTGTGGCTGATGTTATTAGGCCCTGTGATGGTGTCCCCTGAATAGATATGTGGGCACAATTGGCAACGGGCTTTGTTGCAAGGATAAGTTCCTGGGTTAGTGGTTCTGTTGTGTGGTATGTGGTTGTTGGTGAGTATTTGCTTCAGGTTGCGGGGCTGTCTGTAGGCAAGGACTGGCCTGTCTCCCAAGACTTGTGAGAGTGTTGGGTCATCCTTTAGGATAGGTTGTAGATCCTTAATAATGCGTTGGAGGGGTTTTAGTTGGGGGCTGAAGGTGACCGCTAGTGGCGTTCTGTTATTTTCTTTGTTAGGCCTGTCCTGTAGTAGGTAACTTCTGGGAACTCTTCTGGCTCTATCAATCTGTTTCTTTACTTCCGCAGGTGGGTATTGTAGTTGTAAGAAAGCTTGACAGAGATCTTGTAGGTGTTTGTCTCTGTCTGAGGGGTTGGAGCAAATGCGGTTGTATCGCAGAGCTTGGCTGTAGACGATGGATCGTGTGATGTGGTCAGGGTGAAAGCTGGAGGCATGCAGGTAGGAATAGCGGTCAGTAGGTTTCCGGTATAGGGTGGTGTTTATGTGACCATTGTTTATTAGCACTGTAGTGTCCAGGAAGTGGATCTCTTGTGTGGACTGGACCAGTCTGAGGTTGGTGGTGGGATGGAAATTGTTGAAATCATGGTGGAATTCCTCAAGGGCTTCTTTTCCATGGGTCCAGATGATGAAGATGTCATCAATATAGCGCAAGTAGAGTAGGGGCTTTAGGGGACGAGAGCTGAGGAAGCGTTGTTCTAAATCAGCCATAAAAATGTTGGCATACTGTGGGGCCATGCGGGTACCCATAGCAGTGCCGCTGATCTGAAGGTATACATTGTCCCCAAATGTGAAATAGTTATGGGTAAGGACAAATAACATTATGTTATTTGAAATAGTTATGGGTAAGGGCCTAATAACATCAGCCACACTATCAGAGGCTCGTTCACCTGCACATCCACCAATGTGATATATGCCATCATGTGCCAGCAATGCCCCTCTGCCATTTACATTGGTCAAACTGGACAGTCTCTACGTAAAAGAATAAATGGACACAAATCAGATGTCAAGAATTATAACATTCATAAACCAGTCAGAGAACACTTCAATCTCTCTGGTCACGCAATCACAGACATGAAGGTCGCTCTCTTAAAACAAAAAAACTTCAAATCCAGACTCCAGCGAGAAACTGCTGAATTGGAATTCATTTGCAAATTGGATACTATTAATTTAGGCTTAAATAGAGACTGGGAGTGGCTAAGTCATTATGCAAGGTAGCCTATTTCCCCTGGTTTTTTCCTACCCCCCCCAGATGTTCTGGTTTAACTTGAATTTAAACTTGGAGAGTGGTCAGTTTGGATGAGCTATTACCAGCAGGAGAGTGAGTTTGTGTGTGTGGTTTTTGGGAGGGGGGTGAGGGGTGAGAGAACCTGAATTTGTGCAGGAAATGGCCCAACTTGATTATCATGCACATTGTTAATCGTGTGTAAAGAGTTGTCGTGTGTTAATTGTGTGTTAATTGTGTAAAGAGTTGTCACTTTGGATGGGCTATCACCAGCAGGAGAGTGAATTTGTGTGGGGGGGTGGAGGGTGAGAAAACCTGGATTTGTGCTGGAAATGGCCCAACTTGATGATCACTTTAGATAAGCTATTACCAGCAGGACAGTGGGCTGGGAGGAGGTATTGTTTCATATTCTCTGTGTGTATATAAAGTCTGCTGCAGTTTCCACGGTATGCATCCGATGAAGTGAGCTGTAGCTCACGAAAGCTCATGCTCAAATAAATAAATTGGTTAGTCTCTAAGGTGCCACAAGTACTCCTTTTCTTTTTGCGAATACAGACTAACACGGCTGTTACTCTGAAACCTGTCATTTTGCAAGTGCTTATAAGAAAGCTTGAAACGAGTTAGGCCCTGATCCCAAAAATACTTACATAAATGCTCAACATTACTTTGTGAATTGATGTAGTGAAATCAATGGGACTACTCATGATAGTAAAGTCAAGCATATGCATAAGCATTTGCAGGATTCAGGCTTATACATGTGCTTGACTTTACTACCATGGGCAGCTTTGATTTGAACTAACTGCAGTTTCCAGGTTGTCAATACACTAACACAGTAGCACCCCTGTCTTTGTAGCCCTATTCCAGACTTCCATGGAAAGTAAAATATGTATGTATTTGCACTTCAGTCATTTGTAAACTAGAATAGCAACAACAACTTTGGATCTGGCTGCTGTCCCTATAGACGTATGGCAGATCTTGTTCCACATGAATGTATCATTTTTAGATTAACTTCTTACTAAGAATTAATTTCCACAGCAGTTTGACATGCTTTGCTTTAAATTGCAAAGTCATACTTACAAGTGAAAACAAAGATTTAAAGGAAAAAGGAAAAAAATGAAGAAATTGTGGCAGGGACTTGTTACTTGTGATGATGAAATCCAAAATTATTATTTATTATTTGTTGAGAATTGACACGACTCTCAGCGCTGTACAGAAAAATGGAGAAGACCCT